AATGTGGTCTAAGAACTTAGAATTTTTAATTTACTAATTATGGTCTTTTATCCAAAATCTAAATACATGGTAAGATTCAGCATATGAAAGAATCCAAAGAATTAAATTTTTGATGAAATCAAACAAAGTTTCATTTTGGACCCTTTTGACCTCAATGTGGACCAATTTGATAACGGGGCCCAAAAATGAAAATACATGGTTAGAGTCAGCATATCAAAGAACCCCATATATTCAATTTTTGTTGAAATCAAACAAAGTTAAATTCTGGACCCCAATTTATACCAACTTGAAAACTGGGCCAAAAATCAAAAATCTAAATACATGATTAGATTCAGCATATCAAAGAACCCCAAGAATTCAATTTTTGTTAAAATCAAACTAAGTTTAATTTTGGACCCTTTGGACCTTAATGTAGACCAATTTGAAAACGGGATCAAAAATTAAGAATTTAAATACACAGTTGGATTCAGCATATCAAAGAACCCCAATATTTCAATTTTTAATGAAATCAAACCATATCATTATTATTTGCTTTTATATATAAATCAGAAATAACAAACTTAAAATGGAAAATTTTAAAGAAGAAAAAAGGGGAAAAAAAATCCCCCCCCCCAAATTGTTTAAACCCACTAATGATTCATCACCCCCAAACTTAATCCCAGCCTTCCCTTTGTGGTATGGTACCTAGCAGTACAATTTCAGAGAGATCCATACACTTGAACACAAGTTATTAACTAGAAAAATGCTTGTTGTTTTGCCCCTTTTTGGCCCCAAATTCCTAAACGTTTAGGTCAATTACCCCCAAACTCAAACCCAGCTTTCCCTTTGTGACATGGAACCTTGTAGTACAATTTCAGAAAGATCCATACACTTACACACAAGTTATTGTCATGAAAATAGAAAAATGCTTGTTTTTTGCCCCTTTTTTGTCCCCTAATTCCTAAAATTTTGAGGCAATTACCCCAAAATCAATCCCAGCATTCCCTTTGTGATATCGAACCTTGTGGTACAATGTCAGAGAGATCCATACACTAACACACAAGATATTGTCTGGAAGTTACTAATATGCTTATTTTTGGCCCCTAATTCCTTAACTGTTGGTACCTTAACCCCAAAAATCAATCCCAACCTTCCTTTTGTGGTATTGTACCTTATGGTAAAATTTCATAGAGATCCATTCACTTCAACTAAAGTTATTGTGCGAAAACCAATGTGTCTTCGGACGACCACACCAACGACATACCAATATACAACATGAAAAGTACTTAGTATGGCGGAATTTAATACCCCCCCCCCCTCCACCCCCCAAAAAAAGAAAAAAACAAAACAAAACAACATTAATTCTGTTAAATATGTTTGAGTGTTGGAGGTGACTTTTAAGCTCTAGTCTCCCAACTTCATCCATTTCTGTTAATTTTATTATTATGCAGTGTTAGGAATCCATACAGTATCTGTTTAAGTTTAAGAACTGATAAAGGCCGGAACATTTCCCTATAAATGGGTATTTTATAATAAGAAAAAAATAAACAGGGAATGTGTCTATGGGACACAGATGATGCCCACACTTGCATATAAAGTTAAGGGCTATTTTAATTCAAGAACTATAAAAGTGACGCTACCCAAATTTCTACTTGATATGAGCATTGTATCAAAGTTTCATAACATTTGGTTGAGGCAAACTTTAGTTAGAGAACAGAAACATAAAATTCAGCAGTTTTTCCATTTGTAAAGGGGCATAACTCTAGAATAGTAAAAGTGACGTCACCAAAATTAACCCTCAATCTGTGTTTTGCGGTAATAAGCATTGTGGATAAGTTTCATAAAATTTGGTTTAGGCAAACTAAATTTAGAGAACGGAAAACTTTTTTGGGATGTACGGAGGGACGAACGTACAGATGGACAAGGGTAAAACTTAATGCCCCCTCCGCTATGGTGGGGCATAAAAAGACTTAGAAAGCAAGAACTACTTTTTGCTCATAATTTTTTAACAGGAAAGGCAACACTTCTACATAGTTTGGGTTACCAGTTACATATAAGGGTCTGAATAGGGTGGTGTTCATTTATATGATTAATTTTTATGCCATTGTTATATATTCTTTAAATTTTAACACATAATTATGTTTTTATCTTTTAGCAAAAAAGAAGTTTTCTATTTTTCTTTCTTGTTCTTTATCACTATGCTTTTCCTTTAGTTTTTAATTTGTAAACCTCGCCCATACTGTCTTATTTGACTGATGGTAATGAAGGAATAAACAGCTACCATAATAATACAATTAATAATGTACTCACAAAATTACAACAAAAGAAAAATATAGATATCACCAAGAAGTGCTTAGAACTAATTAGAAATCTTTCAAATTATTTAAATTTTACTACAAATGTAGTACCTTAAATCAATTTCACAGCTACATTAGAACAAATACTTTGATATACTAGTACAGTAATACATAAATTAATTGTTGATTAAGAAAGCCATACAACATGTCAGTGTCTTGCAATTATAAATAACCTTAAAAATTGGTTTAATCAGCGACAACATTTATACAAAAATCATTACACGATAACAATAAAATGCTCCGCAAGGCGCAGCTTGATACGACCGCAGAGGTCGAACCCTGAACATTTGGGGCAAGTATGGACACAACATTCAAGCTTGATACAGCTCTGAATTTGGATTGTGATTAAATATTTGACACAGCATAGGTTTCTGATACAGAATGAATGTGGTCTAAGAACTTAAAAATTTTAAATTGGACATTCACCTATTATGGTCCAATATCCAAAATCTAAATACATGGTTAGATTCAGCATATCAAAGAACCCCAAGAATTCAATTTTTGATGAAATCTAACAAAGTTTAATTTTGGACTCTTTTGACCTCAATGTGGACAAAGTTGATAATGGGGCCCAAAAATCAAAAATCTAAATACATGGTTAGATTCAGCATATCAAAGAACCCCAAGAATTCAATTTTTGATGAAATCAAACAAAGTTTAATTTTGGACCCTTTTGACCTCAATGTGGACAAAGTTGATAAAGGGGGCCCATAATCAAAAATCTAAATACATGTTTAGATTCAACATATCAAAGAACCCTATGAATTCAATTTTTGTTAAAATCAAACTAAGTTTAATTTTGGACCCTTTGGACCTTAATGTAGACCAATTTGAAAACGGAACCAAACATTAAGAATCTAAATACACGGTTAGATTCGGCATATATCAAAGAACCCCAATAATTCAATTTTCGATGAAATCAAACAAAGTTTAATTTTGGACCCTTTGGACCTCAATGTGGACCAATTTAAAAACGGGGCCCAAAATCCAAAAACTTCATACACGGTTAGAATCAGCATATTAAAGAACCCCAAGAATTCAAGAATAAAACCCCATTGAAATTGGTCAAGAAATAGGCAATTTATACGAAGTATCTTCTTTTGCACAATACTGTGCAATTGAATATTTCTTGCTATTGCGCAGTACTGTACAATTGACAATTTCTTGCTATTGTGCAATATTGTGCTATTGGATATTTCTTGCTATTGCACAATACTGTGCAATTGAAGATTTCTTGCTATTGCGCAATACTGTGCAATTGAAGATTTCTTGCTATTGTGCAATACTGTGCAATTGAAAATTTCTTGCTATTTCACAATACTTATTATATAATAATTTACACATCCTGTTTGGTGTGTATCTCCTACCATGTCATTATTATTTGCTTTTAAATATAAAACAGAAATAACCAACTTAAAATGGAAAATTTTAAAAGAAAAAAAAAAGGAACCCCCCCCCAAATTTTTTGAACCCCCTTATGATTCATCAACCCCAAACTCAATCCCAGCCTTCCCTTTGTGGTATGGTACCTTGCAGTACAATTTCAGAGAGATCCATACACTTGAACACAAGTTATTGTCTGGAAACTAGAAAAATGCTTATTTTTGGCCCCTTTTTGGCCCCTTATTCCTAAATGTTTTGGGCAATTACCCCCAAACTCAATTCCAGCTGTCCCTTTGTGATATGGAACCTTGTAGTACAATTTCAGAAAGATCCATACACTAACACACAAGTTATTATCATGAAACTAGAAAAATGCTTGGTTTTTGCCCCTTTTTTGTCCCCTAATTCCTAATATTTTGAGGTAATTACCCCCAAAATCAATCCCTGCATTCCCTGTGTGATATCGAACCTTGTGGTACAATGTCAGAGAGATCCATACACTTGAACACAAGTTATTGTCTGGAAACTAGAAAAATGCTTATTTTTGGCCCCTTTTTGGCCCTTTATTCCTAAACGTTTTGGGCAATTACCCCCAAACTCAATTCCAGCTTTCCCTTTGTGATATGGAACCTTGTAGTACAATTTCAGAAAGATCCATACACTTACACACAAGTTATTGTCATGAAACTAGAAAAATGCTTGTTTTGTGCCCCTTTTTTGGCCCCTAAGTCCTAATATTTTGAGGCAATTACCCCTAAAATCAATCACAGCATTCCCTGTGTGATATCGAACCTTGTGGTACAATGTCAGAGATATCCATACACTTACACACAAGTTATGTCTGGAAGTTACAAAAATGCTTATTTCTGGCCCCTTTTTGGCCCCTAATTCCTTAACTGTTGGTACCATAACCCCCAAAATCAATCCCAACCTTCCTTTTGTGGTATCAAACCTTATGGTAAAATTTCATAGAGATCCATTCACAAAAACTAAAGTTAGAGTGCGAAAACCAATGTGTCTTCGGACGACGCCGACGACGACGACGCCAACGTCATACCAATATACGACCCCAAAAATTTTTTGCGGTCGTATAAAAATTCAACTCCAATCTTTATACATAACTAAATGTAGATAATTTAATCTTTGTGCACTGTCATTTTTACCAAACCCTCTGCATTTTAAAAAATGAAACGTAACAAGAATCTTAAGTAATCACATCCCATTCTTACTATGGATTACCTCCCTTTGATCATATACAAACATGTTGTTGTTTTTTTTCAGACAAAAGAATTATTGAGAAAAGTTTTCCAATTCTTTGTGGGAGAGAAGGAGAAAAATAAGCCATGGGCACTTCAAAATCCCATTAAAAGACTTGTAAAGGCAACAGGTAAAATTAACTTATTTTCCAAAAAAAAAAAAAATTCAGTTTTATATAACTGAAAAAAAAAAAGAGAAAAATTATTTGCATAAAATCAACAATTATGATTTTAAAGCAGACAAACTTTGTTGGAGACCTGAATTATTGGGGTCTTGTTATTTTTAATAACATATAATTGTGCAAACCAAATGATGTCTATAGATAAAACTTGATGAAAGACATTTTCAATCTCATAAATATCAATTCATAAGGTCAAGGCATCAATAGCAAATTTGCAGGTAAAATAGTTAACTGTAAATACACATCAACAATTAAGCATGAAAATGAAGCGAGGGTCAGATGTGAAAAATTAATCACATGCATCAATCACTATTATAATGTTCCTTTTAAACATAAACCTGCAGAAGTCTCTTTCAAAATGTGGTATCCTCTTAAAGCGACAAATATAGAATGTTATTGACACCCACCTTTAGTTGAGGTTTAAAAGTACGTTCTCTGCGCCTCATGTATGATTTAGTGTAATAACACTTAAATGTTATGCAATTGTGAATGTATATATTTATATAAATTTTTTTTTTCAGGTTCTACAAGAATGCGTCAAGCCGAAGATTTGTGTCGGAGAGGGAGGACATCGTTCTCATGAGAATGACATATCTTCGTAAGATACGTAAGTTTAGGCAGCAGGGGCGTCATATTGTATATCTAGATGAGACGTCACTTGGTTGAACACTAATCATGTGGTAAAGGGTGACTGGCTGGATGTTCCCAGCACGTCCATGTCTGTCTTTGAGCCCCACTGTAAAGGTACCCATCGGAAAGTCCCTTCTGGCAAGGGTACTAGATTGATAATCCTAGATGTTGGCTCCTCTCAACAAGGCCTAATCCCCGGATGTGGTCTTATATTTGAGTCGAAAACCAACAGCTCTGATTATCATGACGAGATGAATAAGGAGCACTTTACAGAGTGGTTCAGAGATACACTTCTCCCTAAACTGCCTCCTCGGTCTGTAATCATAATGGATAATGCTCCGTATCACAGTCACTTAGATCCTGACTCAAGGGTACCAAACACTAACAGCAACAAGTCAGAGATCTCGGCATGGCTGGAGAAGAGCATTGTTCAGTATGATAAGAAAATGAAAAAGGCCGAGCTGCTTGATTTGGTGAAGCAACACAAACCTCTTCCTAGGTATATTATAGACGAACTTGCATCAGCTAATGGCCATGAGATTTTACGAACACCTCCTTACCATTGTGAGCTCAATCCCATCGAAATGGTTTGGTCTTACTTAAAAGGCTATGTAGCTAGACATAATTCTAGCTGCAAGAAAAAAGACATTATCAAGCTTTTTGAGGAGGCCAAGTCCCATATCGATGCGGAGCGCTGGGCTAAATTTGAGACTCATGTGGAAAGGGAGTTTGAGGAAAAGCTCAGGAAACTTGATGGCATCAGAGACGAAGACGTCGATCCAGTGGTGATTGACATGACGGACGATGACAGCCAAGACAGTCAAAGGACAATTCCTTACATGCTTTCAGAGGGGGAGGAGGAGGGGAATGACGCTGAAAATGACAATGACTTTGAGGACAGTGTCTCTGATACCATCAATGATGCTGATGAGATTTTGTGCAATACATGTGGTAGCACTGAACCACCCAAGCCTATTCAAAAGGACAAGTATATATCCTGGTTTCAGTGTGATGATTGTGATCAGTGGGTACACAACAGGTGTTGCACAAAACCTGCTCTTGCGAAGAATGTCTGTCTTCGGTGCTTCTCCATTTTTAACCACCGGAACCTCAGTGAACCACTTATTTCGACACTTGAGGAGATGGAACAGTGATGTCTTTCTTTCATGCCAGTAAAATAGTAACATGAACACTCCATAATTTTTATTTATTAAAGATTTTTTTTCAAAGCATGTTAAGAAAAATGATAAACAGAAAAACTCCCATCTTTTCTATAAAAAGTGATTTCCTATATATAATACATGTAACTTTTTAAAAACTTAAAAAATGTCTTCCATTAAAATTAAAAAATTAAAAACCTGATGGCTAACTGGCTTTGTTGATCTGTGATTAGTGGTTGAGGGTGGGAAAATAGAATATTTCTCATTTGAATTATAAACAAAAAAAATGTCTCCTCCCTACACTATGACACTTGCACATTAAAACTTATTTTACTGTCAAAAAATTATTTCCAATCATTAACATAAGCAAAGATTATCAATTGTTTGTTTTATATTTTTTTTAAAGAAAGTGTAGGTACATGCAACTATTTTACTGGCAGTTTCAGAACTGATACAGCTTTATACATGGGAACTGTCTACATTTCTTTACAGCTCAGGAGGACTTTCTTAACATACCTTTGTTTAATCTTCGGTTACTGATTCTTTGATAACAGTTTCTGGACAGTTAGTTGTGTGATTGCTATTAACCCATCCTGTATACATTAAATCAACATCTGTGATATAGTTTTAACATCTGTGATATACCGTAGTTTCAACATCTGTGATATACCGTAGTTTCAACATCTGTGATATACCGTAGTTTCAGCATTTGTGATATATAGTTCCAACAACTGTGATATATATTTATTCTGATTGTAAATAGTTCATTTATGTTGAAGATATCTATTTCTAATAATGTTTATAAAAAGTAATTGAATTTTAATGATTAATGTTGGTTAAGTTTTTAATTATAACTTGTTGTTCATGTTGTTACTCCAATATAAGAAAAAAAGGCACATGTACATTGTATCTTAAGTTATTAAATCATAAATTTTGTTTAAATACACTGTTATATTGTTTTATTGAAAATTCATTTTGATATATACAGCTATAGATTATAAGACATAGCTATTACAATATGTAGATGTTTAACAAGTACATAAAGAATTTTGCAAGTTAAAAGAAAAAGAAGGTTGAGATGAGGAACAGCTTTAACTTTTGATCAATGCATTTAGGGACTTAATCTTAAAATGAAAAAACATAGTAAGGCATTTGGATTAGAAGTGCATCAATTCTGAAAGGTGCCAATGTTCAAAATTTGAGAGAACACCCTTGGAGAAAATTTTCACAATGGAAAACCTATTTCATACTTTCTCTAATTTTTTTATCTGGTATCATAATTTGTAATGTTTAAACATGAAACAGTTGATGTGGTATATATATATCTACATGTATATGAATGAAACAGAAACCCAGCTTAAAGAATATCAAAGATTGATTGGTGTTTGCTTTACTCTCAAGTCTGCATTAAAAAGTCAACATACAGTCTTTAACAATAGACAAATAGATAGATGGCGTAACAATATGTCAATTACAGGCAACTCTTGCAATCAACATCAAGATGAACACATTCAGTATTCAGTCATCAAAGTTGTAAGCTCAGTATGTTTAATACATTTTTAACAGATTCAGTCATCAAAGTTGTAAGCTGAGTATGTTTAATACATTTGTAACAGAGAAATTGCCAAAAAAACATGCCAGTACAGCATATCAAACCAACCACCCTACTATATTCTGTGTGTGTATCCCCCAAGTAAAGAGTATCATGGAACTTAGTGAGTTTTTTTGTTGCTGTATAGAATAGAATATTTAGTGACAGTCCCGTACCGACGAAGTCGAAAGGGGACTTCAGGTTTGCACTCCGCCTGTCTGTCTGTCCATATGTCAGTCCGGCAAATCAGTTTTCCACACTTTTTTCTTCATGCTTGAAAATATTGAATTGATATTTGGTATATACTTTTATCATGGCAAGTTACAGATCAAATTTGAATTATGTTCTGGTCTGATGATTTTGCGCAGAGTTATGGTCCTTGGAATTAGAAAATTTACTTAAATAATCAGTTTTCCACACTTCTTTTTGTCATGCTTGAAGATATTAAATTAATAATTGGTATAAAGTTTTATCACAACAAGTAACAGATCAAGTTCCAATTTTGTTCCTGTCTGATGATTTTGTGCAGAGTTTTGGCCCTTGGACTTTGAAAATTCACTCAAATAATCATTTTTACGCACTTACTTGTGTTGTGCTTGAAGATATTGATTAAATAATTGGTATATAATCTTATCACGACAAGTAACAGATCAAGTTCCAAGTTTGTTCTGGTCTGATGATTTTGTGCAGAGTTATGGTCCTTTGACTTATAAAATTAAATAATCAGTTTTCCTCACTTATCTTCGCCATGCTGGAGTATATTGACTTTATATTTGATATATAGTTTACACCATGACAAATTATAGATGAAGTTAGCAATTTGTTCCAGTACAATGAATTCTTAGGTAGCAATACACAGTTAGAAGTTTAGTTTCGCATTTTGGCTATTGTGAATTTTTTAAATATGAAAGTTTTTGTACAATAAAATTGATTTTTAGATAGTTGAAGAATAACAAAGCCTTCCAAGTGGGTTTATATGAACATCTAAATTGTTTTTAGCAGGTTTTATAGGCCATTTTTTTGTTTGACGGGCCGTAATTTTCACATCCGTACCGCCCATAGGTCCAGAAATTATTGTAGTGTTTTTCAACCAAGAATTGACCCTCCATCTTTTCACTTCAATTTGATGGAAAAACGAGCAGAAATGCATATGATTTTTTTGGGACCTCTTGATAGGTAAATGTCTATGGTTTCAGAAAAGGTATCTCTCTAATGGATTGAAATTCTCCTTTGGGCCAAATTTTGACTTTTGTGACATTTTCACCCCCCTTTTTGCAATATTTTGTATCAAATAAATGCAGATTGTTGCCATGGTTACACCAAAAAGAGATTATATTTCACCATTATATCTATTGGAAATGAAATCTATGGAAGATGCTCTTTCCAGAAATATACACATGCATAACACAAATATTAAGCCTTATTTATAAGAAAGGAAGGAAAAGAGGGTGGTTAAAAGTTATGAGTGTCAATTTTAAGTTTATTTTTTTAACTGTGTATTGCTACCTAAACAGGTAGTGGACTATGTATTGGCATAGTTGCCATGCAATACTCTCAGAAATGCTTGTTTTATTTAAAATTCCCAAACTTCAGAGCTCACAAATTACAGGTTCATGTATAAGATATGTGTTTTGTGTTTGTTGGTTTGTACATTAATAAGGTCCATAGATTCATTGTTCGCATGTTTTACACTTGTCATATCAGGGCCTTTAATACATTTGTAACTGGCAATGTGGTATAGTGACACACAGTTGTGAATGTCTGTCAGAGGGGGACAGAGTACATTTATGATAAATGCATAAACTTTTTACAAGTATCACTAGTACTCATAATGACTGAAAACCTGTTTTAAGAGACTTCAAAATAGCCCTTTTACCTTTCTCGAACATACATTGTAACAATGAACTTGCATAGGGCAGTGACCAAAAAAGCAAGTCATAAAGAAAAAAGGTTATATTTCAAGTATTATGATGACCCGTTTAAATTACATCAAAATCAGATGAACTTGGTCAGACAGACATGTACATAATTATGTACTTACAATCATTCAAAACAACAGATATAGTTAATGTGGACTTGGGAATCCTTTAAAGTGGGTCTCATTGGGGTCTAAGCGTGACGCGGGATTGCCGATTTTTTGTAAGCGTGACACGTGAAAGTCAAATCATTGTGCCGTGAAAACGGGAAATGAAGTCTAGCGGG